CTATCCAATGGTGAGGAAAAAGAATGTATATTTATTAATAATATAAATTTCAGCTCAATTATTATAGATTGAGCACTATACACCAGCACTTACTATAGGCTATTTTATACTGATACTAACACGTACACACACACACGTATATATATATATATATATATATATATATGTATATAGATACACCTAGTGAGCCAGACAAACCTACCTAGGTTTCACCTAAATGGATCCTCAGGGAAAGTAAGCCTTACTTTCCCTGACAGATCTGTTTAGGTGAAACCTAGGTAGGTTTGTCTGGCTCACCTAGGTGTATCTAGGTCTGCTCTACGGTTGTATTGAGCGCTTTTGTTAGTTACTTGTTTTTTTGTTTCTATCTGTGCGATTTTTTTCGGCAGAAGTTCATGTTTGTAGCTCTTTTTTTTTTTAAAACTTTTTTTTCCCTAGATTGATTTGATTATTAGCAAATCAAAAATTCGAGGGTTTTTGACAAAAAAATGAATATAGTTATCTATATATATATATATATATATATATATATATATATACTATAAAAAAAAAACAACTATGTTGGTATGATCAACAGATAACCTGCCAGAAAATAACAAAGAAAGAAACAAAAAAAGAAATAAAGTATGTATAAAGAAGAGGAATAACATTGAGTTCTACTTTCTATAAAAAATACACACATTAACATTAATTAACACTTGCTGAATGCTTATATAGACCATACAGTGGATGTAAGCACAGTTAGGCATTTGGTAATGTGTTAAGGCAATATATTCAACAAACCACATTCCTGTTGGCCCTACCTATCAAACTATGAAATATTCATTGTTGTGTAGTGGTGACTGTATTGAAAAATAGAGTTTTGTAATTGAAAACTTGCTCCATCCAGCGGTGTTATTTTAGATCCTGTATCTATTGTATATTATCATTTCTGTGGAGATAACTAGGATGTATTACTTCTGAAGCTTATACTGTACATGCAAAAATATATACTCACATATTTTTTCAGTTATTTCTATGTTTTTTTAAAATCATTTCACCCCAAGTAAGGCAATAAAGCCACTAAGATGCAAAGAGTGTTACGGTATATGAGAAAAAGAAAAAAACATTATTAAGGGGAGAGGTCAATAAAAGAACGTAATTGACATTGCATTTAAATTTTTGAAGATCAATGTTGACTGGAAGGCAAGAAGCCTGAAGAAAGTTCCACAAGCAAGAAGTGTGAGAGAAAAACTGTTAGCATAGAAGTTATGGTTACATCTAGCCATTCCAGCTGTAAAATGCTGAGACTTTGATGACAATTTAGTAGTACTAGAGAAAATGAGAAAAAACAAACAAAAACCATTATTAAGACGAAAAGAGAACACTAAAAGAACAGGAATTAAGAAAACAGTATATAACGATTTAAATTTTTGAAGATTAAAGTTGACAGGAAAGCAAGAAGCCAGAAGAAAATTTCACAAGCAAGATGTGCAAAAGAAAAACTATTAGCATACTAATACTATGTCAGTTTATTTCATGTAATAATTTAAATATGTACAAGCATCTACAATAAGCGTTGGTTATTGCATGTTTAATGTTTAAATGACGTTGTCTTATCTTAAGTGTGAATATTTTGAGAAATGTAGACCTTGTTTCTTGCTCAGAAACTAGGTCAACTCCCTGATTGTGGCACAACAAATAAACCCCTCTTAAATCACGATTATATATCTCTGAAATTCACAATGACATTGTTTGTTAAGGAGGACAGTGTTCTCTTAAAAGAAGAGACAAGCAAATATTATCATTGCACTTAGTACAGATATGAAGAGAGAAAAATATACAAGAAGTGTGCAAACAATTAACTTCTACAAGTGTGCAGACATGTCTTTGAAAGGTGACCTGGTATTTAATAAGTTTGGGGAAATATTAGCTTTCAATTTAAAATGCTGTTATAATGTGAATGAAGAATAAGACATTATACTTGGTTTAATAATTATGTCCTACAAGTATTTAACATCATTCACCATATCTATATATATAAAACTGTAGCCTCTGTCTGTCTGTCTGTTTGTTTGTTATCGAACTCCTCCTAGGGTTTTGGAGATAGACCTCTATAACCATATATATTCTGAAACTACATTACCCAATGTACTTGGATAAGTATATTTCATTTTGATCAAAGAGGGTACTTGGGGGGTACCCCCATCACTGAAAATTTTTTTTCCCTTTGATTGAAATTAAGTTTAATTTTGAACAAGGGATCAAATATCAAATATAGAAAGAGAAAGTCAGAAGATAGAGGTCACATTGATAAGATCATTGAGTAACATGAATCATTTTTCTTCACAAATCATAACAATGATTTAAAAATCAATCATCATTTTCCTTACAAAAAAAAAAAAGGCTTGTAGGCTTTGCTGTGATTAACCAATCGAATGTGACCTATACTAAATTCAAACCCACTGGAAATTTTTTTTTAATATAGGTCATGATATAAATCCTAGACAATTTCTTTATGGACAGATACACGTTGTTACATTATTTCACAAGATATATCAAAGTCTGACATTCTACTTTCCAAATAAGTAAACAGCTAAAAGGGGTAGGGAGGTAATTTAACACAATGCTAACCAGTTATCTACTCATTAAGCTTCTTGCATAAAAATTTATAGTTGTTAAATAAAAGGCCTCTTTAAGAAACTGGTAATATATATATATATATATATATATATATATATATATATATATATATATATATATATCCTCATAAACTTACTTTTATAGATGTACAGTAGCCATATACTTTGAGTGGCTCTTAGGACAGGATTTCTATTGAGTGAACAATTAATAAAATAAAATAAAAAATAAATATATCACTGTCCATGCATCAGGTGAATTTTGATTTTAAAATATATATATATATATATATATATATATATATATATATATATATGTATGTTACACTCTTTGGGTCCTGTCACTGGATCTAACCAATGCCTTTATCCACTGTGTGAGTTCAATACCCGGTTAAGGCAGTGGAGAACTTTCAGAGGGAAATTAGTAGGAGATAACTGATAACTGACATCCATCAAAACATGGCACGTGGAACTAGAACAGTCTACACCCAGTGAGCGAAATAAAGGGTTCAGTTCGACATTCCAACCACCTGAAGAAGGCCTGAGTGTACAACAGTAGAAACGTTGTGATAAATATGGCGACAAAGATGAGGACAATAGTCCGAATAATGTAAATAATGTAATCAACACCAAGACATAGATAATTAGCAGTGATTAGATTATCAGTCACAGAAGAACAATGGCAGTGAGCGGGGGGAGTATAGATAGTGGAGATGATAAAGAAAGTCAGATATTGACAACTCCTGAAATCCTCATTAACAAAGCTATCAACTTTTCATGAAATGGCACAAGATGAAGACAGTGTTGTAAAGCCGATGCATTTTTGTCAAATGCTGTCGCTGACAAAAACAAACAAGCAAAAAAAGACCCAACAGTCATTGGCTATTTTCCACAAAAAACAATAACTGATCACTGCTTCAATGACCTTAATTTACAGGAACTTAGTGTCTTTAACAAACACACTACAATGCATTTGATACGGCTGCTAAATCTCATGCCATGGAGGCATTGAACCCATGAGAGCTACCTTGAGTCTCCAGCTCTCACAGTCTTGGCAGAGCATCAAAACCTCCTCCAGCACCAGATTAATCTGCTGGAGGTCCTGGTGAATGACGTCCTTTCAGTGGCTCTGTGGTCTACCGGGAAATTGTCACCAGTCTTCAGATGTCGGGGTGAACTGGTAGACGACTTTGGTAGGGTGATCATCAGGCTGTTACAGGACGAAACTGAGCTAGCAAATGTAGTGCTGAGTGATGATGTGGAGAATGTTTGGCTAATCAGTCCTCCACCAGATATCCTCATTGAACACAAGATCAGACCAGTGCAGATCTTTGATCGTCCTGAGGGTGTGAGATTTGAAGCAATGGACACAGGAGGGTCTTGTAGAGAGGCCGCCATATTGTAGCTTGTAAATTAATATGAAATTTCTACTCCATATTTTCCTTATTTAAATGACAGTTAATGTGATTGTATTGGCCTCCAGATACACATCTGTCTTGCATAACTCAAGTAGCCAGATAAACACCTTAGGCAATCAAAACTCTGAAGACAAATTCTGTTCAGTACCAGATTTATTGATAGCCAAAAAGCATTTATCTGGCTGTCCAAGGTACACACACATGCAAGATGGATGTATATCAGTGAAACAGTGATGTTGTTGTTTAGGGTAGATTTAGGAGGATAAGGAAGTAAAGACCATGTACATCTTTTGGCTTTCGATAAACCTGCTGATGAACAGGACTTTGTCTTCAGAGTTTTGATTGTCATAAGGCGTTTATCTGGCTGTCTGATGTATGCAAGTGGGCAACATAGACTCGCCCCAGGAAGCAGAACATGTATTATGAAATATTAGATTGACCATATGATTAATTCATCAGAGTTTCCACAGACAAGAGAGTAAGAATAAATATTTCACTGCCTGAGCAATCTAAATAGAAAGGATTCAAAAGGGATAGATGAATGTGCAAAGTTCCTATGAACGTTTGTGAGGAATTTACGTTTAAGAGGAGATTCTTATTTGTTGGGTTGGTAGAATTCTTACAGATGCCTGCATGTAAATTTCCATTAGTAAGAACTGCCAAGAGAAGAAACTGTTAACATAAAACTTACAGTTATATCTAGCCATTTCAACTGTAAAATGATGAGACCTAACTGCCAATCTAGTACTGCACTTACATTCATCAAGTCCAGGTACCACAGGGGGAAGTTCATCAGAACAGTCATCATGAAAATATTAGGGTATTGAATGCTGTGTACTATTCTGTGTTATGTCCAATGCAACATGAAGTTTGCTGGTAACAGAAAAGCCCCCCCCACGAGGGGAAACAAGACATGTTTATTAGGGTTTGGTGCTCACAATGGTATCATATCAGGGTTTTGTACTCAAAATGCTAGATAGATAGATAGATAGATAGATAGATAGATAGATAGATAGATAGATAAATTTAAATTAAATGAGATAAATAGATAGAAAGAAAAATCTGAGATAGAAAGAAAAGACTTAGGTTGAAAGCTAGATAAAATATTCTCAAATTGATTGGTTTAAACTGAATGAGATAGATAGATAGATAGATAGATAGATAGATAGATAGATAGATAGATAGAAAGATAGATAGATAGATAGAATAGTCTAAGAAAGAAATGTCAGAGATATAAAGAAAGAAAAATGTTAGATAAATAGATACATTTAAGATGAATGATAGATAGAAAAGTCTAAAATAAATAGATAGATAGATAGATAGATAGATAGATAGATAGATAGTATAGTCTATGATGGAAAGAAAAGTCTAAGATAGATCTAAAAGTTTGAAATAGCTACACAAATAGATAGATAGATAGATAGATAGATAGATAGATAGATATCAAAAGACTGAGATAGATAGATAGATAGATAGATAGATAGATAGATAGTATAGTCTATGATGGAAAGAAAAGTCTAAGATAGATCTAAAAGTTTGAAATAGATAGATAGATAGATAGATATCAAAAGACTGAGATAGATAGATAGATAGATAGATAGATAGATAGATAGGTAGAAAAGTCTCAAATAGATAAGTATATGCTAAATGAGATAGATCAGTAGATTTAAACTGAATGAGATAGATAGATAGATAGATAGATAAAGAAATCTATTTCACAGTGTAATCAACTTCTGTATATTCCCCCTCCGATGATAGCTACTCAGATAAATCCTTTGCCTTTTGCAGCTGCTCAAACACCTTTTGTCTACTTTTTACCATTCTCCACTTACTTTCCCATGACGGATATTTATTAGTGAATATTGCTGTGACATCTGTTGTCAAACGAGTTTCGGGTAAGAAAACAAATGACATTATAATACGGAATACTTATTGAACTTAAAGTGGAAGGACACATTTGCTTGTTTCAAAGACAGAAGATTTTTCATCTCTAAATGCACACAAATTCAATTTCATCATCAGAAAACAGAAGTAAATAGAAAATAACTACATTATAATTCTGACTGTGGTTTTTAATCCTTTTACCACAAGTAAGGTAATAAAGCCACTAAGATGCAAGGGGTTACTGAGCATGAAAGAATATGAGAAAAAGAAAGACATCATGAAGGGGAGAAAACAATAAAAGGATAGAAATTAAGAAGACATTTGGCAGCTGATGTAAAAAAATGACCTACAATCTGTTGTTAACTTGGGCAAGAAATGGCTTGTTAATTTTAATGCCTCCAAAATGAAACAGCTCTCTTTTAATCAAATTTTTTGCCATCCATGAATCTTTTTATTTGTACCCTCTTACTTCTTTCATTAATGAGATCTATCTATCTATCTATCTATCTATCTATCTATCTATCTATCTATCTATCTATCTATCTTAAAATTGACATTGCATTTAAATTTTTGAAAATCAAAGTTGACCGGAAAGCAAGAAGCAAGAAGAGAGTTCCATAAGTAAGAACTGCCAAGAGAAGAAACTGTTAGCATAGAACTTGCAGTTATATCTGGCCATTTCAACTGTAAAATGATGAGACCTAACTGCCAATCTAGTACTGCACTTACATTCATCAAGTCCAGGTACCACAGAGGAAAGTTCATCAGAACAGTCATCATGAAAATATTTATAGAAACAAGCACAGGAAAGATATTGTTACAACTGTGAGAAAGTGACTGAAGCTGAGATGCCAGGTCATGACGAATAACATTTCAGATTCTTCTTTGGATATTACCAAGGATCTCTAAAAATATAGCAGAAGCACCAAACGAGATATGGCAGCAATATTCAATGCATAGATGAATTGTCAACTTGTAAATATGCAAGAGAGATTCTGGAAAGAAAAATTGTCTAGCATTACACAGTGAACCGACATTCCTAGCAGCAGACTTAGTAATTGATTCGATATAATCTTTCCATCTTTCAAATATTAGCCCAAGAAGGCGCAATCAGAGAGGTGTTTCATTTTGGAGGCATTAAAATTAACAAGCCATTTCTTGCCCCAGTTAACAACAGATTGTAGGTCATTTTTGACATCAGCTGCCAATTTGGCCTTATTGAACCAATTAGACTTACCCTTAAGACAGGTATAAATAGTTGTTATCTGCAGAGATACCGAGCAGAGAATTGATGTCATTGGCAAAGTTGTTGATGAAAATTAAGAACAATGTAGGTTAGAGCCTTGGGGAGGGGCTTGTTCCTTAGTTTCTTAGTTCCTCAGTAAGTACATATGTTATGCCCTACCATTACCTCAGATAAACAATGGACCATTTCTGTAATTACTTGCCTGTTCTCTACCCCCCCCCAAAAAAAAAATGGAAGAAGAGAAATATCAAAAGTGCTGTTTGAATTTAGGAAAAGAAGGGAATAGAAAGAAAAGAAAGAAATAACGGAAAAGGGGAGATAGAGGAGGTGATAACAGTCTCATGTGTTTAACACCTGCTTCTGTGAAAAGGAAAAACCGCAGTAGTTTCAGATCTTTTTATTTGTACCCTCTTACTTCTTTCATTAATGACATGTAGCCATATTTATGATCGTTACTGTAATATTTTGTTAAAGTTGTTAAGCTCAAGTATTTAATGATGCAATAGGGGAATTTACGTGAAACTTCCATGAAATTCACAAGAATTTTATCCATCCTTAACTTGGGAATTAAGATCCATCAGAAAATTCAAATAGGAAAACTGCTGAACTTTCCAGGCATTGCACATTAAAATTAATTTGAAGTCTCATTGGAAAAGGAAACAGATATCCATCTTTTCTCATTTTGCAGTAAGTTATTATCATAAGTTAGGAATATATACTTGAACAACATGGTGGATAAAATAAGTAGATATTTATTGTAAAAACCAGTACAATAAGAATAAAGGTAAAAGTTATGCACAAGGTTGTTGCAAGTCAATCCAATAGTGAGTGCTACTATTGGAAGGTCAGTAGTTCTTGTATAAGTCTGAGTCGTACTTAACAGATCCCAGCTAGTCTCTGTCCGTTGACTTACAGATACTTATAGGTAGTTACTATCTGTAGTGTAGTCACTCATGGGGGTGACAGGTTATTCTATTATATCATTATTTTAAGATATTATTGTAATTTATTATCATAAATTATTATCATAAATTATAAGTTATTATTATAAGCTATTATTGTAAGTTATTATCATAAGTTATTAGCGTAAGTTATTATCATAAATTATTATTTTTATTATCATAAGTTATACTAAATTATTATCATTGTTATTATCATAAATTATTATCAATGTTATCATCATAAGTTAAGGTGGTAATAAAATAAGCACATCCCATCTCCCGTTTCACTTGTAGCTATCCACTATAATTGCTGTGGTGTCCTCCCTCTAAAGAGTCTATGTTGGACTCTTCCACCTACTATAAAATTAGTAAGAGTCGTACTTAACAGATCCCAGCTAGTCTCTGTCTTTCACATTTTAAAAGCTGACAAAAAGATTATATCATAAGTTATTGCCATTGTAGTAAGTTATTATCATTGTAATTATCTATTTAGTAGATTAAATTATTATGGTTGTTATTAACATAACATATCATTGTTATCGTCATAAGCTATTATCAATGGACCTTGAAGCACTCAAACTTCTGGATAATAATAGAAAAAGGACATCAGTTATTATTATAAGTTATTTCCATTGTAGTAAGTTATTATCATTGTAATTATTCAAACTAATGATTTCATTCTTTTACTTATTTTTTTTAGGTAATCTATTCAAGAGCCTTCCTCAGTTGTGTCAATCTTACGAAAAAAAGTCAATTTAGAAACATCTTGTTTTTTTTTTTTTACCTAAACAGAAAAATAGTTTTAAGTATTGCCATAGATTTCATATGCGACACATTTTTTTTTAACTGTCATAGAATCAGTGTGCCCATTCAATTCACTTTTTTAAATTCATGATTGGTTCTCCAAAGTCAGTTTGTTTTCTTTGGCCATTCCCACAGAAATCTGCATAGAGATAGACCTAGACTATGAGGCACATTGTCTCTTTTGTGCTTGATTTGTTCAAAGACAGTCAATAGCTTTATTATTAGTAATCACTACCAATTTCAATTTGTGTTCACAATCACTAGTGTAAAATAACTAATGGTTGTCCACTTAAGAAAATGGTAGCAAATAGAAGGCCTGAATATATAGAATAAAAAGCAACTAAAATTATGATGAAAGAAATACTAGTTAAAAATTAATAATGGCTGATAATGTTTCATCTAATAAAATTCGAGATATTATTACTACTTATTAAATAATGGCCATAAATGAAATGTTTGTATGATTGCAATGAAAAGCAAGTAAAATTAAGATTAGTCAAAAATTAATAATGGCTGACTCATTTTTTTACTAAATTAATTAATTTTATTTAGAGAGGTAAACTATCAAAAACATTTTAGGTGACACCCACAAGTCTGAAATCAAAATTAGGAAAGTTCCAAAAAGTGGCTGTATGAGAGATTATAAGCTATAAATAAGATATATTATTTTATGTACAGTATTTTGAGGGGGGAAAGGCCAGTATGAAATAATCTTTTGCTTACCTTGTTTTTTTTAATAAACAACCCTTGCATTTTGTTATCAGAAACTTTTTGAGGTCAAAGTTCAGGATCTGTTGAAACAGTCATTAAGTGTGTCTTGTGATTTGAATTTTTGGGGGAGATTTTTTTTTCTTTTTTTTTTTTTGTTTCTTATTTTTGGTAAGTATTTATAGAGTGTTATTGTTTTTTTCCCTTTCTTTTTAAACAAGCCAAAGTCTACATTTAGTTCTGTTAATGAATGGAATTAAAATACAAAATCAGAAATGGTGACTGAGTTCAACTAAAAGCATTCTCTTGCTAAGACTCTTTACTTCTTTTAATATTATTACAATTTCCTGCATCAGGGCCAGTGCAAGGGTCCCCCTGAATCTATGACCCCCCCAATCTCATTGGAATCTTGGATACACTCTACTTCTTGTATATCTCAATTTTCAAAATGTAGTATTCATATAAAATACAAATTTTATTGTAACCTAATTATGTACACTAATGGATCCTATGCAATATAGGTGAACAATCAGACTAAGAAAAATTGAAAATAAATACAATGTATCTAAATAAAATTTAGAGAAATGTCATAATAGATTTTAAATAAATCAATAATGTTTTGTGGCAATTTTTAACATCTACTTGAGATTCTTCTTGTTAGAAGGATGAATAATTTTTTAAAAAGTCTTAATTTTACTTGCTTTTCATTGCAACTACACAAACATTCCATTTATGGCCGTTATTAAATAAGTAGTAATATTATCTTGAATTTTTTATTAGATTATTGCATTCAACTAAAAATAGTGAATTTTATATTCTATTTTTTTTTAAAACTTGGCATGAGCAAAACAAATTCACAGATTTGGACAAAAAAGAGACCCCATAATAATGTTAAAATCTGTGTAAATTTTCATCCTTTAATAGTCATCATATGAGCTTAGTTTAATTTGTAACATATATAAATGTAGGTAGAAAAAACACTGCCTGGTCCCACCAATCAAGCTTGAAGTTGGGGTGTTCAGGGGTAGTATCCACCAGCCCCACCCTGCATAATAGGCACCCAACGATAATGAGGAAAAACAATGCACCCTACAAACTAAAAATTAACATGTGTCTGATATATGTATTCTATGTGTGTGTGTTTGCATGGGAAACATATATACATGTATATGTCTGTACTGGTATATACAAGGTGTGGCAGAAATACCTCTCACATTTAAAATTCTCACCTGTTAATGGCAATGGTGTCTTCATCCAGTGAATGCCTTGCAATTTCTTTTCAGACACCATCATGGCTTGATCATGCAGAGAGATGATCCCTACCAAGCCAA